TTATTTTATTTTATTATTTTATTTTTTTTATTATTTTATTTTATTAATATTATACTATTTTGTTATATTATATTTCTACATTTATATCAAAAACGCATTTATTAAATGTGTTTTTATACAAAATGAATCTGAAATACTTTTTTCAATACAAAACGTTTTCAACCATTACGCATGCGTGCGTAACATGTCTCAATCGTATTACATTCTGAGATGAGGCAAATGGAGCGTGCTCTTAATTGATCCATAGAGTATGCTTTAACGGCGCGAACATCTAGTTGCTATATTGATTCCGGACGTGAATGTATTGAAGCGTGTTGAGCATGTGGAGTGTGCGACGCGAACAAACATATAGATTAAACCTGTGGTTAAAGTCTCGCTACAAATACTTTGAAGCATTTGATAGACCAATTAGAAGAAAGAAGAACTTTACAAACTGACCAATTAAAAACTGCTTCAAAGCATTTGCAGCATCGCGTTGACCGTATCCATAGTCGAGTCTTATTTCAAGACCGTCTTAAGTAATGTCTTAAGACGCTAATGTAGTCTTTTAATTGGTTCGTGATTTCTTAAGACCAGATTACTTAAGACAGTCTTGAATATAAGATCTAACTATGAATACCTAAATTTGATTTTATTATTTGAGTGTACTTACAAACTGGACATATGACGTTTCAGTTTGACTTGTTAACTCGATACTGAACAAGACTTCTAAAAATCTGACAGTCCAGTCATAACCGGACAGTTGACCACTTTAGCAACAGCTTTAAGCCGAATGTTGATTGGTAAAAACGAGTGACAGAAATAAATTTTATCCCCACAATCAATTTTTCACCAATCAGCGCTTTGTGTCAAAGAGCTGTATTGGCTCTTGCACACTGGACTCGAAAAATGTTTATCGCACGAAAATGTGATGCGGTAACCAATAAGATTACATTTCCTAACATGTTCATTGATTACCGCGTCTTATTTTGCCATGAGGCGAGCGTTTCCGCGTCTATATAAGGATCCAGGTTTAAGTTACTTTTACATGCATAAAGTGTTTTACATCGAGCATTGTGAGCTTACTATTCACTAAAAATAGGTCACGTGATCAAAATTGACAAATAGGAAGCTCACAATGCTTGACGCTTCCATGTAAAGGTATCTTAATCTGGCAATTCTATCAGCTTTATCAACGGATAGAATCACGTTTCTATTTCGTATTGTATAAACGTGGAATTTGCAACTTCCGCTTGAAGTTCTTTTCCGTGAGATTTTTGATAGAAAGATGGTAATGTAGCTTTGTTTATTTTTGTAAATAATTCGAATTCTCGCATCATACGTTTCGTGTTTGTAAAATTTTCTTCGCTATTGGTTAGGCTAAATATATGTCGTGTTTTGATACCAAATTTCGTGGAGGATTGACATCCTTTGCTTAAAGCTGTACTTTAGCTATAAAGTGAACCATGTGGCTGCCACATTAATTACTCACATTAATACATCTCAAAGATGTAACGAGCGTTAAGTTTTAATTTTTTAATTTAATTCTAGAAATACGAATCGATTAAGCACGTTTGTGGTTTATTGTAAAAATCAACGAAGCGAAGACTATATATAGGACTATATATAGGACGAAGTTATATCCTAACTAATGTCCCATGTGTATTACATGATGCATATGTAATGTGGATAGTGAATTTTTATTAAATTCATATTTTACACACACACACACACACACACAAAATGTAACATACACTATATCGCTTATAAATTCAATAACACTTCCGATATTTCATAATATTTTATGAAAAGTATTTCTTAAAAAGAAGATTGTAGAGAAGTTAAAATGCATTTTAAAGAGAAAAATAATTTTTTAAACCAATTTTCCAGAAAGCATTTTAAAATTTAAGAGATATTTTCTACGTTAAAAAGTTTATTAAATTTTATCCGATGATATTTCATACAGATATAGCTCTAAAATATAACAAATGTTGGAAAAAATATCAATTTTTTAAATTTTTGTTATATTTTCAATTTTATGCAATTTAGGAACAAAATATCATGAAGATAAAATTTAAATATCAATTAAAAACTATCTTTGTTATTTATAATTTATAATTCTTACTTATAATTTATAAAAATGCATTTCTAAAGCTACAATTTTTTTCACTTTTTTGTGAGATACTTTTTTGTGAAGTATGAAAATATCGCAAGTATTTTTGAAGTTATAGTGCATATATATGTACATATATATGTATATCTATGTATGCAAGTATGTATGTATATAGGTACATACTGTATGTATGTATATGTACTTGTAGTGTATGTATTTGTATATTGATTTTACATTGGATGGATATAGAATTGGATATAGGATGTTCTATTTAAAGCTTTGAATGTAATTATCTCTCAAATATTAATTTCTTGATAATTGTTAACTATTTGTTAACTATTTGTTATTTCAAAAATATCAAGACGATCTTAATTTTTTTAAAAGAAATTATATAGTTTTTTCTATAATTATGTATGATTCTTCTAATTATGCTGCATATAAAAGTTGAGATAGAGATACCAAAAAATTAATACGAGATATTGGTTTTTATGCTCCTTTATCGATTAAATTTGATTTGTTCGAAAATCATTATTTGAAAAGTAGTTTGAGATATTTTATATTTTATTTTGGCACTATGTTATGTAACATGAAATATTAAATATCTCGTAAACTATTAATTTTTTGATATTTGTATCTTAATATTTTTATGAATGAATAATGAATCGATTGGTATAAAGAAAACACAATTATTTATTTTTTACTTGATTTATCTCATTGTTCTGTTTATAAAAGAAAATTAACCCATTCAGACTTGATTTTATTGGAATCATTAAATAAATTTTTTTTTAATTCAATTCATGGGCACTTTTATATAAGTAGTTTATAATATTTATAATATTTAAACAATTTATTTCAAAATTTGACTTTTTCCAATATACATTATTATATATATCAAATCTCAAATGATGCCGATAAAAAATTAAATAATTTCAATAAATGTTTTCAAATTTGATGTACATCATAAACTAGATTTAGAGAGGTTAAAATACGATTGTTAAGAAATTAATAATTTACAAGATATAATATTTCAATATGTACCAGAATAAGGTATAAAATATTTCGTAAACTATTAATATTTTTATATCTATCTTTTATATACTTTTCTATTCAGAGTAAATAGAGGATTCATAGATATTATATAAAAAAACAATATAATTCCATTTAAAAAAATAAAGATCACTTTGAAATCTTGGCACACATCACAGATTTATGTAGAGAGGATTTGTAACTGGCAGAAAATGTCTTCGAAATAAAATAAATACCACTTAAATATTTTTTAGAATAAAAGTGGAATCACACGGTTCTTGCTCGATTTCTTGAATAAGTATGCACTCATGCATGCACACATGCATGCTGCTATGCTTTTAATGCATACAATCTGATGTTTGACAAATAAATATGAAACCAGCAATTATTTCTTTTGATTGATACATATAAAAAAATAAGCTATGAAATAATCCTTAATAAATATAAAAATCATGTATATGCAGCACGTAGCGCTGTATGAATGAATTTTTACATCATTTATACGAACGAATTCTAGCATACATTGATATAGCAAGAGTAGGTATGACTATATACTTGCTATTATTCAAGAAATCGATGCTATTATTCAAGAAATCGTGGATTCCATCTTAACGAATAGTTTAGGAGAGATAATTGTGTTGGTTTTAAATGGAATCTCTATATACTACATAATATAGTATAAATTTATATCTGTATACTTAATATATAGATTGTAGAATATATATGTAGATTAAAAAAATATGTATATTTAATATTACTCATTCATTACAATGATATAATTCAAAATTGTGATTTTTAGTTGCTTGTAAAAATAGAAGGAAAAGAAAGAAAATATTTATTTTTTCTTTCTTTTCCTTCTATTTTTACATTTATTGTTTTGTCCTTTTATTTCTTTATTATTACATCAAAATTGCGTAATGCATTCAGAATCATCATCTGGATGCATCCGGACAATTCTGAAGTCCAGTATTTCAAAATTAATATTACAAAATTTTAATAATTCAAAACATTTCAAACATTCGAACTTATTTTCTGAAAAGCTTTATTTTTTTAATTATATCGTGAGCAATTCTAATATTTCAAAATTAATTCATTAATAATTGATTCGTTGTCACAAACGATTTATTATTATGATCATTTTTCTGTGATGATACACTGTTTATCCATATGTATCTAATTCGTTTTTGTTTATTTGCCAGACTTGCAAACGCAGAAATGGTGGACGTGCCAAGCATGGTCGCGGCCATGTGAATCCAGTCCGCTGCACCAATTGCGCTCGTTGCGTTCCCAAGGACAAAGCCATCAAGAAATTCGTCATTCGTAACATCGTCGAAGCCGCTGCTGTCAGGGACATAACAGAGGCTAGCTTCTATCAATCTTATCAGCTGCCTAAATTGTATGCTAAGCTTCACTATTGTGTCTCCTGCGCCATTCACTCTAAAGTGGTGCGGAACAGATCCAAAGCGGATCGTCGTATAAGAACACCTCCTGTCCGCAACTTCCCAAGGGTAATTGTCTTTATAAAGATTTTATAGTTTGTTTATTTATAACAATCCGTGAATACCTACCAATCAATATTCTTAAGTTTTTTGGAAGCACGATGAAAATTTTAATTGTCTAAATATGTAGTAGTGAAATGTATACAACAGGATATTTTATATATTCTCAATGTACATTCTGAGATTATACATGAGGTTCATCACTAAGTAAATGTAAATTTTCTTAAGTCATAGTTATAAAATCTTTACAGTGTACATATTATGATACTTTTTGTTTTCAGGATCTACGCCAGGGTCAACAGAACAGGAAATAATTTTATTATGTAAAATTAATTTCGATATAAATAAAAATTCATAAAACCAGAATAATTGTTATATTATTTTTATTATTGTGAAAGAAAGTGAATGAAATATAATATTTTATCGTAAATTAATGCAAAGTTGGATAATAAGCTGTTTAGTGCTATTGTGTGAATAAACTTGTAATCGTCAAGTTTATTAGAGCGAGTATAGATAAGATTTATAATACATGATGTGCACTCATATACACACACACACGCGCGCGCGCGCGCGCGCGCGCACACACACATATTAGTCAATATCCTCCTTAATTTTAAAAAGCGAAATTTTTAATCTGAATTCTACCAATGAGTTACTTACATTTCATAAAAATACTTTTATCTGACTTTAGCAAGAAGAATTTCTAATAATTTTAAATTAATGTACAAGTAATCATTTTTCATATACACGCGCACACACACGCGCGCACACACACACACACACACACACACACACACAAAATAGTGTATGTGTATATACATAAATACATATAGTGTGATGTGTGGCATGTGCGCGCGCGCGCGTGGTGTGTGTGTGTATGTAATATATATATATATATA